GCCCGATGTGGGATTCAATCCCGGGACTCCAGGATCATGACCTGAGCCGAAGGCAGTCGCTTAACCAACTGAGCCACCCAGGCGCCCGCGAGGGGAGAGGTTCTTACAGAGAAGACACCAGAGCAGAACAAGGAAATTTTTTGATTGGCTAGCTTACGGGCTTCAGTTATTTGGGAAGCCTAGTTGGCTGTTCCCGGTTGGCTGTTCTTAACCTTGAGGCATTTACAGGAATTGACTGGAACAGATCTTGGTTTGCTTACCTTCGCTACCAAGGAAGGTGTTAGGGCCACCTCATCTGATGGCCGCTCAGTCTGAACCAAGCAGGAACCTGGTGAGCCTACGTGTGCCTCTCCATTTCTTTCAGATCTTCTTCCATAGTTTTGTGGGGGTTTTTTTCCCCATAAAGGATTCATGCAGCTCTTCCTAGTTTATTCCTAGGTATTTTATAGTCTTGTACTGATGTAACAATTGGACACCTTTTTCCTGTTATGTTTTCTAATTTTTGTCAATGCATAGGAAAATTACTGATTTCTATATATTAATCTTGTATCTGACCCCGCCCCTTGGTGAAATTCCTTATTAATTCTAATAGTTTGTACATTGAAAGTCTACAAAACAATTAACATTTCCTCTGAGTAATGGCAACTTTATCTCTTCTTGAGCTTTTTTACTTAGCAGTGCATCATGGACATCTTTCCATGTCATGAAAGATTGATCTAATTCATTGAAACAACAGCATAGTATTCCCTTTTATACAGTTATTGTGGGTTATGTAATAAAACTGATGCTAGATATCTCAGAGTTGGGTTGGTTTGGTTTGATGTTTTGAGCTCTTCCCCTTAACAACTAAATGCCTTAATAAAAATCTTGGTGCATTCATTTTTTTATACCTGTGCTGGTATTTCTGTTGGACAAAATGCCTAAAACATATTTAAAATTTTTTTCAGATACTTCACATAGGAAGTGCATCATTTTCTGAAGCCCACTTCTTTCTCCAACAGCAGTCCTTGCTGGCCCCGGCTCTGTGAGCAAATGGGCCAGCTCCCTCCCCTTACCTCTGTCCCATTGTACGTTGATCTGGTTGGTTTTCATCGTTCCAATTCTATCCGTTTAAATCTTCTAGACATTTATTCGAAGTTGCTGATGGTCACCTTCCCCATTTCCAGTACTGCCGTGGAATCTGGGCAGGGAATAATCCTCATGGTTGAGTTCAGTGTCTTAAAGGAGAACCCCCAGCACCCTTTGACCTGAAAAGTCTTTTACAGAATAACAGACATAAGATAGACAAAGTAGTACTTTAAAAAAGCAGAAAACAAAAGAGTCCGCAAACCATGTTTATAATCAAGTACAGTGTGTGTCTCTGTAGTAGTCTAGGACCAGAAAGGAACAGGGAAACATTTTTAAATGTGATCCATCAGTGGTGGCTTTCCTCTGTTCCCCACTGTCGATAAAAAGTTATTTGGAAAAGGCAAAAAAAAGTAAAAGGTAAAACAAACACAAATAAGCATATTTGTTTTTCCAAAGGGCATATTTTCTTTTACATTAAACTTCCTTCCTACTTTGTCAGGATTGATGACGAATGTACACTCATTTTACAGGGAAGAAAGCATCCTCTGTAATTAAAGAAACTGACCATGAAAATCTGGCTTCTAAGTTAAGAGGTAAATGGATGTTTGGTGACCTTCCCTTTGCCCACGAAGGCAAACTGCCATTGGGAAACCAGCTTTAACGGGGACAGTGCCCGCCCCCTCTCGAAAAGCCCTCCCCTAAGAATCTATGTGAGGAGGTGGTGAAAAGGTTTCAGGGCATTGTAACTGTGTGTGTGTGTGTGTGTGTGTGTGTATGTGTTTGAGATGGGTAGTAGGTGGCGAGAAAGTAGAAGACCCTGTTACGAAGGTTTTAAACTTTATTTATGCTTTTCTCTTCAGAAAAATGGGTAATTAATCCAAAAGAGCAAAGACTGAGTATTTTATGTGAGCTGGAGGTAAGAAATGTTTATCAGTCCAATAGTACACAGTGTTCATGGTAAATATCATTTATTCAAACTTCAATTCTCTCTCTTTCTAAAAACGTAGTTTAAAGAAGACTTCATAACCCTGTTTGAGCCATCTCTGAGAACATTGCCTAGCATCGGGCCACCGTCCATTCTGACATTCAAACAAGAGAGTTCCAATTTAGGCATTAACTTCAAGGTGATTTTAATTCATATTATTTTAAAATTTTGAAATTTTGTTTATTAATGAATGATGTAATAAGCCACACGATGATTTGCACAGAAGACGTGAACATACTTTAAAAAACAAAAACAGGCGAAGAGCTCTTTTCCCTGGAACAGCACTTAGGGTGGCTCTGTCCCTCTGCTGGGGCTGCTAGAACAACATACCGCCCAGCGGGCGGCCTAAAACCACAGCAACTTGTTGTCTCACGGTTCCGAAGGCTGGAAGTTCAAAGTCAATGTGTCAGCCAGTCCAGCCTCTAGGGGAGCATCTTTCCTTGCCTCTTCCTCGCTTCTGGCGGGGCCATCGAACCCTGGCCTTCCTTGGCTTGTGCCTGCTCCACTCCTATGTCCACCTCAGCTGTCCCGGCATTCTCTGTGGGTCTGTATCCCAGTGTCCCTCTTCTCCAAGGACACCAGTCATGTTGGATTATGATCTGATCACCTCATCCTCACTTGATGACATGTGCAAAGACCCCACTTCTACATAAGGCCCCATTCCCAGGTACCAGGGGTTGGGACTTCAATATATCTTTTCAGGGGACACGATTCATCCCATGACAGTGGCCACAAGGGCTGGAAACAAAGGTGAATGTTTGCCATACTTGATCATCTTAAGTGACCGATTAATGCCTCTGCCTGATGGGCAAGGGAAGAGCCGCCCTCCTAATTCCAACAGGACCGCACACCGTCCCGCTGTACCAGAGCTGTGAGGGACTGATTGGTGGTAGGATTATTTCCAAACTCAGATGGCCTGGCCATGTCGAGAGAGCTGCACACTCCCCAGATCAGAACCCCCTTCATTATTTCCTTTGGGGTACGTTAAAGGTACAGGCTTACTCCCTGGAAATAAGAGCCAGCAATCGTGGGAGGTGGCCTGTGGCAGGTGTGTGTGCGGGGTTGCTGGGGATGCTGGGTGGGCGCACCCCCATGCTGCTCAGGGCCGCCTCAGGCAGTGCATTAAACTATACAAGTCTAAATATGCCACGTAATGTAACATCAGTCAGTATTTGCTGCTTGTATTTGTCCTGGTTTTTCTAAACTTTAGGGTCACCCTTTAGACTCTTCAGGCTGAAATTCTTTATTCAAACATAGCTCCTTCCTCTTTCTGAACCACAAAAGCTTGTACCCAAGGAAGTGTCTGGAGTTTTCTTCTGCTGACACCCAGAGATGGTCCTGAACATGAGGAAAGCCCGGTGGCCTTTCTTCCACGGGAGTTGTCCCTGCGCTGGCCCCCAGATCTTGGGCAGCTCTTTCAGGCCCACTTACATGGGGCTTTGACAGGGGCTGTAGCTGGCCTGCCCGCTCTCCTCTCCAGCTGCACCCTCTTTGGGTGCAGATTCCGGCCCCACTCATGGTCTTCGAAAGCATCCCTGCCTTGCTTCCCCTGCAGGTGAAGGGGTGAAGGGACTGTGGGCTGAGGAGCTAATTACCAAGACCCTGGTAGGGAAATGGCCTGGCCTCACCACACTCTCTTTTTGTCCTGTCACCTGGGAGGCAAACTAGATGTTTCACCACCATCTCTCCAGGGCAGGTCTTTACCCGCCCCCCCGACCCATGGTTCCGCTTTCAGCCATGTGCAGTACTGATTATCAGGTAGTTTCTTTCTTTCTTTTTTTTTTTAAGATTTTATTTATTTGACAGAGAGAGACACAGCGAGAGAGGGAACACAAGCAGGGGGAGTGGGAGAGGGAGAAGTAGGCTTCCTGCGGAGCAGGGACCCCGATGTGGGGCTCAATCCCAGGACCCTGGGATCATGACCTGAGCCGAAGGCAGATGCTTAACAACTGAGCCACCCAGGTGCCCCTATCAGGTAGTTTCAGTAGCCTCAAGATAGTGGCCATCACTCCAGAATGGTGAAGGCCTGGCTGCACTGGCCACTTCAGCCACCCTTTGGCCCCACGGTGGCCATTTTGCCAGTCCCAGAGAATGGCAGATACAGCTGGCCTGGTAGTGTTCATGACCTGCGAGTCACACACGAGTCACGCATGAGGTGGGTTTCTCCTGGAGGCCTATGCTGAGACTTGGCTGCTTGCCTGCCCAGGAGCCCCTGCAGTCACAGTGGTGACCTCAGGCCACTCACATGGCCATAGTGTCTCAACCCTTGAGCCCCTAACTCCAAGTCTCCTGTTGCTTCCCCTGGCCTCCCACACCCCTTCTGAATTACCGTCACTGCACAGACAGGAGAATTCAGAGCCCCAACCTGGGGCTCATGTGTGTTATCCTTTGTCTCCTGCATCTAGTCACACACTGTAATCCCCCTCCCCCACAAGGGACTCTGATGTCAACAGTAAAGTCATTTGTGCAACTTTCTTTCTTCACTGAGGAGGCATCCTAAGGACCCACAAGCTCCTGATGGGCTCAGCTGCGCTCTGGTGAACCAGACAGAGGCCCTGAAAACACCACCCCTGCCTCTTCAGGCCTCCCCAGCCCTTGAATAGAAATAATGTCTCATTACTGGAATATACAGATCTTGCTGGCTTGGTGCCTTCTGGTATAGGATCTCAGCTCCCTGCAAGTTCCCCACCAACTATTTCAGCCCCCAGGGATTCTGACAGGTTGGCACATCCCCCACCACCCCTTGCTCCCCTACTGGACGTTTGCTGGCCCTGCCCAGAGCCCTGGATCCTACTGCTCCCAGAGGCTCTGGGCCTCCTTGTGGGCACCGATTCATTTCTGTTTTCCCTTCTCTGAAGGAAGAAGAGGAGGAAATATCACCCCAGTGTGAATTTTGTGGGTGCGATCTAAGAACATTTCTTTCCGGTATGGATATTTTCTCTGATGATGATAACTCAGAATCAATAGAAGAAGTAAGTTCTAAAGCAGGTTTATGGAGGAAATCATGTTATTTTTCAATGTATGAAGTATTTCTGCATCTTCCCCTGCACTGCAATGCTTAAAAGAGTTACATGTTAGCTGGTGGGGAAATATAAATCATAGTCACGATGGGATACCGTTTCATACCCACTCTGATAGCTATAATCAAAAGGATGGATAATACTAAAAAATGTTGGCAAGGATGTAGAGAAACTGGAAGATAATATGGTGTAGCCACTTCGAGAAGCAGTCTGGCAATTCCTTGAAAAGTTAAATACATGGTTACCTATAGCCCAGCAATTACACTTTTCTAGGTTTATGCCCAAGAGAATTGACAACCTCTGTCGACACAAAAACTTGTACACAAATGTTCATAATAACATGGTTCATAACAGCTGAAAAGTGAAAACAACCCAAATATCCATCAGCTGATAAACTGGTAAATAAATGTGGTGTATCCATACAATGGAATTTTACTCAACCATAAAAAGAACTGAAGTACTGATACATGCTTACATGCTACAACATAGATGAACCTAGAAAACGTTATGCTAAGCAAAAGCCAATCACAAAGTACCACAAGTGTATGATTCCACTTATATGAACTGTACAGAACAGGAAATCTATGCAGACAGAACACAGGTCGGTTGCTTCCAGGGGCTGAGAGGAGAAGAGGATGGGGGGTGGGGGGATGTGTTAAGGGATAAGGGTTCACATTCTAAAAGTTGGCTGAGGTGATGGTTTTGCACAACTCTGTGAGTTCACTAAAAACCATTGACTTGTACACTTGAAATGGATGCGAATTACGGAATGTGAATTCTATCTCAAGAAAGCTGTTACCAAAAAATGTTACCATAGATCATTATCCAAAGTTCATTAGCCATTTTGGGATTTTTCCCCCCTAAGTATCTTCATCGAAGACTGGTGAGATGAAAAATGACCTCTTTGTTTTTCAGGCCTCCTGTTGCAGGTATTTTCAAAATCTGATTGACTACATCTATGAGGAAAAAAAAAAAACCCAGGGCCCCAAAGCGGAATTAATCTGTATTAACCCTCACGCAGCCCACGGCAGTGAAGTTGATAGACTCAAAGCAAAGGAAAAAGCCCTGCGGAGGTAACACTGAGCCTTTGATATTGAAACTCAGGCCCACTGAAGTAGAGAGTTTTTGGTCGATGAACCTTGTTTTTTTCAAAATTTATAATTTTGAAGAGGTGTTCCCAGAAAAGAAATAAAAATTGGGGGCCCCTGGGTGGCTCAGTCGGTTAAGCATCTGCCTTCGGCTCAAGTCATGATCCCAGGGTCCTGGGATCTAGTCCCACGTTGGGCTCCCTGCTCAGTGGGGGGTCTGCTTCTCCCTCTGCCCTTCACCCCACCTGTGTGCCCTCTCTCTCCCTATCTCAAATAAATAAATACAATCTTTAAAAATAAATAAATAAATAATTGGCCAAAGCAAACCCATTAAAATTCCTGGTAGATGTTATTGAGATTCAGAAGCTCCTAGAAACTCTGTGAATTTTTTAACAATTTAAAGTAGAAATCTACCAACTGCAAATTCTCAGCTCAATTTAGAATTCCCATGTTGGAGAAATTTGTCGACTAAAGAGAGTAGAGACCCATATGTACTGATTAAATGCCTGGATTCACAAGTAATGATAGGTAAAAATAATAAGGGACAGCATTTAAACAGTTAAAATTTGTACTAAAATTCTGTTTTAAGCTTCAAAACACATTTCAGACTTTTGCATCATATTTTTCAATTTTGTAGAAAACAGGAGCGACAAATGGCCAGACAATTTACAATAATGACAAATGGACAGCCTAATTTTTCTGAAGAAGGTGAGTTCCTCAACACTGATGATATCGATCAGTTCTACATCAGAAAGCTCAGATGTTTGACCAAGAGCTGAAATTGGTATATTTAAAAAATAATATTTAAAATGTTCATTCCAAGGGTGCCTGGTTGGCTCAGTCATTAAGAGTCTGCCTTTGGCTCAGATCATGATCCAGGAGTTCTGGGATTGAGCCCCCCATCAGGCTCCCTGCTCTTCAGGGTGTCTGCTTCTCCCTCTCTGCCCCTCCCCCTGCTCCTTCTCTCTCTCTCTCTCTCTCTCTCTCTCTCGCGCGCGCGCGCGCGCACATTTGCTCTCTCTCAAGTAAATAAATAAAATCTTAAAAAATGGTAATAATTAAAAATAAAATGTTCATTCCAGTCAATGCATCAGTTAAGATGGTTCAGAAAATCTGGTATTTCATATAAGTGGCTTCCACTTACAGTTGTTATTGATCGAAATAAATTAGCAACATCTATAGAGCACTTTACAGGTAGCTGCGAAGAGCTTATGAGTTGCTATAGTATGGATAAAATTGAAGGAGCACTGATTTTTAGAATCAGAAGTTCTTGATTTATCTCCTTGCTTTTCTCCCTATAGGCAGGCTGATTTGGGGTAATTACTTAATCTTTCTGAGCATCAGGCAGCAACTCTACCACTCAGGAGCTATTGAAAAGATACTTAGAAAAGATAAATGTTTGTTGTGGTTTAAACTAAATCCCTAGTATAAAGTTCCTTGATATTCAACTATTTCCTACTAAACATAAGGTCAGAAAATTCCACTTAATGAAAATCATCTTTCTTCTTTTAACAAAGGAATGTTTTCATTTTTTAACAAAAGAAGGCGCTCACTTTAATTTAATGAAGAACCTCATTTTTCTTCCATTAAAAAAAGTCTGATGAATCAATGCATTTGTAATAGGGTTTGAAATTTCATTTTAGAAGAGAGGTTTTGGAACATTTTAAACAAATATCTACTTTCATGTGTTTTTTTTCCTTAGATTCAAAGCACTTAAAAACAATTTCTTATCAACTTTCCATGGATATTCCAGAAAAAGAGCTAATTGCTGACAGACTACTTGATTTCCAACTAGAAAATAGAAACATTTCCATTGTTTGCTGTGATGCTAGAATAGCATGTGGAAAGGTGATTCTCTTGTAATTTTTTTACCCGTGACTCTTTAAAATCAGTTCTTCCTAAAATTGTAAAAGCTGTCATAATGAATATAACAGGTTGGCTACATAACACATTTAACTCTTTGTCAGGAAGAAATGGTTCACACTTGGCTCTTTAACTTCTACTAGACTTTATGTTTTTTTAGTCTCCACTGGATAAATTCTAGTTCACAACTCTCTAAACCATGTCTGTCAGAATTAAAAAGTCATTTTTGAGGGTCATAACCAGTAGAAATCAGACCAGGACTGCGTACTGCCCTTATATTGGATGCCGTGGGCCTTGGGATGTAGCTGGAGACTGTGTCATCTTCCTTGGAGGCCTCCTGCACTGCTGAGTTGTCGGCATGAGCCAGCAGAGCATTTTGGACTCTCTGACCCTTTCAGCTGTTAGCCCTGTCACCACCGCTCATCATGCTTACATTGTTGCTGTTCTTAATAAAGCTTGTCAAAACTTGAAAAAAAATGCTTTTACATACATTTTATGGTGAGCTATTTTGGCTAAAGCCTTTTTATTTTAAAATGTGATCATTGGAACATTTGGAAGCCTTAAAAAACTAGGAAGAAGGGGGAGAAAATCACCAAAAGCCTCAAGCACTTCCCCAAAATCATTGCTAATATTTCAATATTTTCTAGATCCACACTGCCCAATAGGGTAGCAACAACTACATATGGTTATCTAAATTTAAAATAACTAAAATAAAATTTAAAATGGAATTCTTCAGTCACACTAGTCTCATTTCTAGTGCTGAACAGCTGTGTGTGACTAAGGGCTACCATATTGCAGTGCTGATACAGAACATTCTTATGGTCACCAAAATTTCTGTTAGACGGCACTGTTCTAGACTTTTTACCCTTTGGCTTTGGTTGACATTCTTGTAATTATATGACATGTGTAATTTTTATCTCTTTTTAAAATTTATTATAAAAAATATTTCCATGATATTATATACCTTACATTAACAGCATTTTAATATCTATGTGCTCCTTTATGTAGTTTATCTCACCATTCCCTTATTATTGGACAATACAGGTTAACAGTTTTTTTGCTATACTAAATAACATTGCTTTGAATATCTTTGTGTATAAATGTATGTTTATATAAGTATATTTTTTCAGAATAGATTTCTAGAAATTAAATTATGGAGACCAGATTTCTTTCTTTTGGGTGATATAGAATTTAAGGTGTGGCAGTGAACTGAGGTAACTGACAGAATCATATCCAAATCCTGCCTGGGGGAAAGTCACCTGTCCGGCCCTCAGATTTCTCCTGCAAATTATACTTCAGATTCAGTTACTAGCACATAGTGAAAAAGAATCAAGAATGCAAGGAAATTCAACACCACAATTGAAAACCCAGAGGAATAATATCTAATTAAAAAAAGACCTGCAAAGACTCTGGAAATTAAACTATGCTTATAAAAATAAAATATCAGCTTGAAGATATATGGAGGGAACAGAAATCTATTGTGACATAATCAGTTTGTAAAGAAAAAAATGGAACTTATAGAAATGAAAAATATAACAACTGAGGTTAAAAACTTAAAAGATGACAGTAACACGGGTTAGACCCAACTAAAGAGAGAACCAATGACCTGGAAAAAAGGTAAAAAAATAAATAAATAAATAATGAAATTCTCCATGGGAACAAAAATAAGAATACAGAATATAAAGTATATGATATGATATGAAAATGAGGTGTCTAAAACACATTTATTCAAAATCCCAAAAGGAGAAGAAAAAGATAATCAGACAGAGGCAGTATCTGAATTTTCTAGAACTGATAAATGAGAAGAGCTCGCAGATTTTGCCCAGTGAATCCCAATCAAGATGAAATAAAGAAAAAAAAATCCTAGACATGTCAGAGCAAAACCAAGGAACACAGAGGGAAAAAAAATCTTAAAAGCAGCAGAGAACAAAAAGTTCTGTTTATATTTAAAGAGAATTATACCATCAGATAACCTCCCAACAGCAACAATGGAAGCCAGAAGGCAATGGGAATTATCTTTAGGGTGCTTAAAGAAAATAGTGGTCAATCTAGAAGTCTATAACCAGTTAAAATATTTTTCAAGAATATGTGTCCAAAAAGACATTGTCTAGTAAAGTCAAAGATAATTTGTCATTAGTAGCCCCTCATTAAAGGAAATTCTAAAGAATGTGCTTTGTGTAATTGGATGGTCTGAGATTCAAGAAATATGGAGAAAAAGTGGTACATTAGACCTTTTTTCATGTTGATTTATAAAAATTCTTATACATTTAGGATACGAGCCCTTTGTATGTCATATTGCTGCAACCACTTTTCACTTCTTGGTTTGTCCTTCACCATTTTAATTGTAATTTATCAAATCCTTCATGGATACTGCTTTTTTTCATTGGCTGGTAAATCTTTCCCAGACCTGAGATAATACAGCTATTCTCCTATGTTAAAGAAATCTCTGTAGTTCTGCATTTCACATTTAGATCTTTAATCCACTTGGAATTGATTTTTACATATAATGTGAGGTAGTGGTCCTAATTTCATTTAAAAAATATGGAGGGGCGCCTGGGTAGCTCAGTTGGTTAAGCATCTGCCTTCGGCTCAGGTCATGATCTCAGGGTCCTGGGATCCAACCCCACATTGGGCTCCCTGCTCAGCGAGGGGTCTGCTTCTCCCTCTCCCTGTGCCTCTCCCCCTCTTTGTGCTGGCACTCTCTCTCTCTCTCTCAAATAAATAAATAAAATCTTAAAATATACATATATGGATACCAGATTGTATCCAGCACTATGTATTGAAAAAGATTTCCTTTTTTCCATTACCATGCACTGGCACTGCTGTCCCACATCAGATGTTTATGGCTGCATGAGTCTGATTCTGGACTCCTTACTCTGTATCATGGATTTCTTTATCCTGCCCCAACACTACACAGTCTTAATTACTATATTTTGTGATAGATCTTAATATCTGATAAAGCATATTCCTCTCTCTCAACCACCTTCTTTAAGAATGTTGGCTCAGGGCACCTGGGTGGCTCAGTCGGTTAAGTGTCTGCCTTTGGCGCAGGTCATGATCCCAGGGTCCTGGGATCGAGCCCCGCATCGGGCTCCCTGCTCTGTGGGAAGCCTCCTTCTCCCTCTGCCACTCCCCCAGCTTGTGTTCCCTCTCTCGCTGTGTCTCTCTCTGTCAAATAAATAAATAAATAAATATTAAAGGAAAAAAAAAAAGAATGTCTTGGCTCTTCTAAGTTTTTGACATTTCCTGTAAATTTTAGAATTGACTTGTGAAGACCTCCATTACCCCAACAACACACAAATAATACAGTCTTGTTAAAATGTGAATTGCAGTTGCATTGGATCTAAAATCAATTTGGGAAGAATGTCATCTTTAAAATACTTAATCTTCCAATCCATGAACATTGGGTCAAATTTATTAGAGGGGTTGTTCAAATATTCTATTGTTTTATGACTTTTTTGGTCTAAACAATCCTTGCAATTTTTGAGAGAGGTAGGCTAAAATATCCCATTATGATTACGGAATTTTTAATTTTCCTTTTCCTTTTGTGAAATTTTGCTTTATATATATTGAAACTATCTTAATATGGGAAAAATATTTTGTAAGGTTATATCCTCCTAGTGGATTTAAACTTTTATCATTATGAAGTAATCTTCTTTATCTCTGATAATATTCCTTAGTATTTTCATGTATCATTTTTTTTTTGAGGTCTCCCATTTATTTTTTTATTTTTTTTTATTCTTATGTTAATCCCCATACATTACATCATTAGTTCTAGATGAAGTGTTCCATGATTCATTGTTTGTGCATAAC